TCAACCAGAAGCCAGGATCTCAATCTTCTGGATGTTAACAGTTAAAAGAAATTGCATCCACACAAGGAAAATATTTTAAACAAACAGGATGTCAACAATCTTCCAGATGATTATGAAAAAACATTCAGCAATGTAAACAACACTTGTGTGAAATAGTACAGTCCACAACACTTGTGTGAAATGGTACAGTCGACAACACTTGTGTGGAATGGTACAGTCCACAACACTTGTGTGAAATGGTACAGTCCATAAGAACACCAGTGTGAAATCTTCAAGAAAAGACATTTGTAAGCAGAAGCCAGGATCTCAACAATCTTGTGGATGTTCAAGATTAATACTTTGGAAAATGTAATTGTATTTATTTTTTGTAAAGGGAGGAAACTCAAGTAACATTTAGTTATGTTTTAAAGGGGAGGATCTGGTGGGTGATATACAATTAACTTATTACACCTTTTGTTTTTCCTTTTGTCTCACTGTCATTCTTCTTTCTATTAGATGGATGGTGGGGATGCAGGGTATGGTTTTTGTGGGTCAGGGGAGGGTTATCCTGACGGAAGGTGGGTGTGGAAGAGGGGGCAGCTGGTAATGGTGGCACACCAGGGAGATGAACAGTTGGAGAGGTCTGCTCAATAGAGCAGGCCGCCTGCCAACCTCCGCTGTGAGTGTGTTGACATCTGTGGCCTGCTTGGCTGGCCCATTGTTGATTACCAGATAATGCCTTGTCAGTCTGGATAATGTGTCATACATTTGTCGATCTTGCAGTTTCCTTGTCTATGTAATTGTAAACGAGTCTTTTCATTGGCAATGTACAGGCTATTTCATATACTTTTTCTTTTTACAATGTAGTTTTAGAAATAGAAAACTTGGCTCTTTTACTAAAACAAGCCAAAAAGGGCTTATTGTTCTGGGGGAATTTAAGGTGCTAACAATTAAAAAAAAAATTGTATGTAAAATTTAAGAACAAATCGTCTTGACTTGCAGACGTGATCATATATTTGGAACTGGTCATCAGTTGTAAATAGTTTATCCTGTTTAACAATGTGCTTGCAATGTGACATAACTTCCTAGTACACTGCAGAACTAGAATTAGAATACTAGGCTTTTAGGGGGAAGGGGCGGGCCAGTGATTCTCTAGTTTGCTTTGATAGGAAGAAAAATAGTCAAATTTTAACTCAACAAAATAGGCCTATTTATAAGAAATCATGACTTAAAGCATTGTCCAACAATTGAAACTTCATTGTTTAAAAAAAATATTTAAAAATGCAAATTTAACAGAAATGGTTTCAAATAGTATAGACTGTCCACAACCTGACTTTTGATATTTCTGGCATTAGGGGAGGAATGCTAGAAACATCTAAAGTTAAGTTTAATCAGCTGTTTTCATGGCCACTAGTTGTGAAGGCATTTAGGGATGCTGAAGACAACTACATTTTTCAGGCCAAACAGACACTAAACAGTCTATATTATCAAACCCATTTAAAAAAAAAATTCCTTAAAATGTTATTTATTATTGAGATCCATAACACTTAAGACTAAGATATGACTGCATTAGGGCATGAATGTTGGATAAATCTAAAGTTTAATCTCTCTAACATTTTTTCATGGCCTCTAGTTGTGAAGGTATTTAGGGATGCCGGAGACAACTACATTATTCAGGCCACACTTGCACAGAGTGGTGTATACTAAAAAGAATTCAAGATGTACATTAAGACTAGTGTAATTATTCATTACTGAATTCTGTAGGTTGTAGTGAAGGGATATTGTTTTGAATTTTTGTCTTAAAAAATGTTGCCAAAGACATTCAAAAATGGAAACCACTTTCACAGCCAGCCCCATGAGCCCTCAGTACTGATCAAAAAAGATAATTTTTTTTTGTTTGCAAGTCAAGAATTGTTTTTAATCTTCTAGGTTTAAAACAATAGCACATCATAATTTCCTATTTACTTGCTAAATTATCTGAGAGGCTAAGTAGTTCTATCATTCTCAGTTAGTCTAGGCAGCTACTACTTTGATAAATAGAATTGAGAAGATTGTAAGGTCGCTTTTAATATACTCTTAAATGGGAGCAAACTTAATCTTATCAATCTTCTCCTTTTTAGTGCATACCTAAAGGAAAAACAATGTCAAATAGTCTTTTGTATTTTGAACCAATGAATTGACTTTTCAAAATCAGGCACTTTCATCAAAGACTTAGGAAAGATATGGCAATATTCACAACTTTATGTGATGCATTATCGACACTGACCTGTGCTAGGAATTAGGGCTAACGTCTGGTATGATACAATGGGTACAGCCGACAGGTCCACAGCTCTGTCAACACCAAGTCAGCGGAGGGGCAGGTCCCAACACATCTACTGGTAAAGCCTATACCATATAGAAACCAGCATGCCCATGTTGGGATTGGTGGTGTTTGGGTTGTTAAGGGTGGGATTGGGGAGGTAAGGGTTGTGTATACATGTATTCCTCTCTTTGTTATGTGTAATAAGTTAATTGTTCTTGTTCTTATTAATTACTATTTTACTTGAAATCGCTCCCTACTTTTGTGTGCCAAATTATCATTCACATTTAATGAGTTGCAAAATCTGCTTTGCCACTTCAGATTCCTTTTCCAGAAGTTGTTTTTTAAAAACCAACTTAGCTAATATCAGTTAAGTATCTTTTCAAAAAGTTGAATGTTTCATATATTATATTTTTTCAAAATATATTTTTTATGCATGGTTATTTTTTTGTCAATCTTATGTAATAACAATAAATTAAACTTTGTATTTCTCACATTAGAAAAACTAAGCAATTTGGATAAAATGTATGAAAGTTCATTCAAATCAATGTAAAGCTTGAAAATGGAATTCATTGTAAATTACGTCATGGTCATTTCATATATACCCAGTTCAATTTTTTTCATGTTAAACATGGAAGAACTAGGATAAAAGTTGTAATTTCTTTGTCAGTGCTGAAACAAATAAAAAATGTCTCTTATCTTAGTAGTTAGTGGGTTTATAAATTTAACTCGCCCCGAATCATTTTAAGCCATTTTGAAATGACTATGGCGATGTAGGATAAAGTTAATTGTACACTTAAATGACAAATGTTTCATATGTGAAACATTCCTTACAGGCCAATGATGTAACTAGTAAAAACTGATATTGATACATCTTTAGAAACATAAACTGAGGCTAATTGTTTAAAAATGTAAAAAGAATTGACAAGGGTGGACTAAAAGAAGTCCTATGCCCCTCAGACCTAACTGTCCTGATTTATTTTTATCTTTGTATGATTTCATATTTATAGCAACATTAAAAATACAGTGTGCAAATCATTTGTGTCTATTTTTTTTTTTGCATGTGCCTATTAAACATCAGCTTATTGAAAAACAAATAGATCTCGGCCTACCTCATAATTGCATTGGCTAGTACATTTCAAACTAAACCAAGCAAGTGTCAAATGCAGTGTATGAAGTTAAAGGGTGTTCTAGTAGTGCCCTAGTAGTCTACATATCCCATACATCCACAGGATATGAAGTTTAATAGTATTCAAATCTAACCCTAGTAGCCTGAATGTCTAGAAATTTGAAACCATGCTGAGGGTATGAATTCAGATGTGTAGCCCATCTGACAAATGTATGGGATGTTATTTGGAACAGGGCTAACATTTGATAAACCTAATTAGAAAGGTTGTCTACGGACTACATATTATTTAGATGTGCAGACTGCATATTAGACAATGGTAGGCTACAGTTAAACTACGCACACCCAAGTAGACAAGATTCCCCCCCCCCCTCCCGACTGAAAAAGAATTATACAGAAGATATATACACAATAGTGGAAATGGCCAAACACAGTTAAGGTTTGGATGGAAAATCATGTGGAATTGGATTATGGATCTAGAAATGGTAGATGTCTAAAAAAACACATAAGAACCATTTTAAGAAAAAATAAAGCTGGCAATCAATAATCATAACCACAGGTAGACTACTTTAGCCTGATAGAAAAATGTGTTATTATGAAAATGTTTCTAAAATCTATTTCAGGCTTCACAAAAATTAAATTTAATGTTGACACATTTTCGTAATTAGTACAAAAACTGATTTAAAATTATAATATAAAATTATAAATAGGTCTCCCCATTAACTATTTAGGACAAGAGATCTATATGGTGTAGCAGGATCATCCAGGATGTCAAGGGGGGGGGGGGGGAGGGGTGGTCACAAACTTGATATGGGCAACAAATAATCAAACAATGTTAAAATATTGTTTTCAGTTACATTTGTTGGGTCTTGTCCAGATAGGGTTAGAGGGTTGGGGTTAAAGGTGCCAAAATACAGACCTTTTCATTGTAATTATTTCATTGTAATTATTAATGACCTAGTATCCTCTTTTTTTGTAATATTTTTTTTAGTGGCGGGGGTTAACTTTTTGGCGGGGCTTATCTGGACAAGATCCCATTTGTTATGTAGATCTAGGTTATTGAAAAAAATTACTTTGGTAAAAATTGTGGTAGACCTAGATCTACATTTTATAATCCATACTGCATTATTTATTATTATTTATTTATAATTAATTAATTATCAATTAGGCCTAGTTATTGTTGTCAATTTTATTTAATGTATTTCTATTTAGGCCAACTGGTAATCTATTTGCTCATGTGCACAGTTTCTTCCAGGCATCTTTCCGTAGAAAGTCTACCGCCCCCCCCCCGAACGAAATGAAATTTATATAGAAGTTATACTTTTAACAGTGTAACAGTGACCCCCCCCCCGGGAAGAAAGTCTACCGCCCCCCCCCCGGGGAAAAAAGTCCTGAAGAAACACTGCTCATATGTTCAGTGTTATTTATCGGCGTGTACGATTTAGCTTATTACTTTAAAACAAATTACTAGACTAGATCTAGATTTTCTAGATCTCGACTTCTTGTAGACCGGGGTGTGGATTGTCGATTGTCACTCCTTGTAGCCTACAAACTACTATGATCACGTTTTCACTTGGACTGGTCACGTGATGTAAATAAACTGATCACTGGTCACAAAACGCCCTGTGCCATGTATGACGGTGTTGAGTGTATGATTGTAATGTTGGCATTTGATTCGACTCAAGAAGCTTAAGATCAACACTTCTAGATTACATTTCTATTTATTAGATCTAGATTTCTAGATCTATATAGATCTAGTATTTATTAGTAAAATTATTGGCAAGACCTAGACCCTCAAATCCAGATCTAATCTTAATGATTAATGAATTCTTAATGTAGATCTAGAAATCTAGAATCTAGTCTAGTCAAAATCAATGATGATTTGCAGATTTGGTAAGTCTAGTATTAGTGATTACCAGTGCCAGACTACTATTGTAGATCTACTAGATTAATATTACATTGTATAAACTCCATTATAATGCCATATAATAATATATAGATATATCTTGAATGATCTTGATCTATTAAAAAAATAAATTAAATTCATCAATGATCAACAAAATTAAAATAAAACATTCATATATTCATAAACATTGCAGACATTAGACATGAAATAAAAAAAAGGCCTTTTCCTGCACTATCTTCTACCTTTGTTACCCACGAGAACTTGGAAACTTTTTAAAGCATTTTTAATTTGCCATAGAAAAAGCCATAATGGAAAATAAATTTAAGTCACGTCATGGACCATAATAATGTATCTTGTTGGAGCAAACAACATGGAAAAGTATTACATTTTTAAAATCTGTTACTAGTTCCAGGGTTAAATTCAGCTCCAACAGTTATTATTAACTTTTTATAGCACTCTATTACTATGCAATCATGTGACAAGCCCACTTCTGAAATGGCTTTCTTTCAACAACTCATGCAAGATGATATTGAAAAATCTGTCTTTGCTGGTTCTCAGGTCTCAAATCTGTCTTAGTAAAATGTAAAAGACTCTTTAATCTTTAATCTCTGGCCACTTATAACTTAGGGTTGAATGTCATTGTGATTGTGACAAAAAAAATCTGGTTTTCCAAACCTTCGATGGCCATTGCATCTTGGTACTGATGCTGCAATGTTTAGCTGATTAAAATTTTAAGTGGAAAGAAGTATCACGCTACGACCAGGTACTGCCAAGTCATTATGCTTTTCCAATAAAAAAAAACAACAGATTAGTCTAGGAACTGTTTTTTGATGAGTTAAGTTTTAAAGTTCAAGTCATTTGACTCTGCTTTAAAGTAACGGTGTATTGTTAAGTCTCCCAGCGCTCAGCATAAAATTGTCTCTAAAAATCAATATGTATTGGCATAGGATAATTGGTATGAACTGTATTATCCGTCTGCCAATAAGGATAGTCACTCTATTAGCTAATATGAAAAATATTTCCTAATTTAACATTCCATTGCCAGGTTACAAAGATATATATATTACTGAGTTAGGTTCTTAAATAATCACAGTAAAAAATACTCAGCAACACATTTTGTGGCTGAAAAAATTTTGAAATTGTACCATAAAGGTAAATGGTGTGAAAGATTAGATTTCCAGCACATTAAATATAACAATACTCATCTCATATATACAAGAACAATGAGAAAAATGAAAACCAAAATATCAACACGTCGACAAAGCATGTTTATTAAATGTCCAAACTGGTTAGAGGCCTTCAATAGTTCTGTTAACAACTCAGTTATTCATTAGAATTTTTTTTTAAACAGTCATAATTTTGCCTCACAAAAAAAAGGTGAAAATATCCTTTCTTTCTATCCTGATATGTTCATTTCTTCATATTCTCAAATTGGAAGATCTAATGAAAATTGATATTGTTGGAACTTACTAGAAGTAACAAAAAATTTTAGCCTATATCATTAAAACTGTAGATGAAAAAACAAATAACAGCATTCCAAATTTCTCATTGGAACTTTTGTTGGTTTTGACTTTGTTTGAATTGAAAAGTAAAGAGAGAGTACTCCTTTCTAATTATTTTTTTTACATTGGAATATTATGTCTTGTATATTTTATTACACACTTTAAATAAAATTTAGTTTATGCATTCAGTATAACCAGCTTAATTTTTCTCACTAAAAGTTTGTGTCTAAATGCTCTACACATATTGCTGAAGATTCTGATCTCTTGGCTTTGATAAAATATGTTGATGAGGTCACTGTAACCCAAAAGCAGAGTGCAAAGGAGAAGAGTACACCTGGACTTATTTATACTAACTTCTATTACCTTAATAACATTTACTAAAATAATTAGCCCATTACTAGCTAAATTAAAATTAAGGTAAAATTTATAAATAACAGAAAAGGACCTAAACTAGATCTTCTTTTTATTATATCTATATTAACTTTTAAATAACGAATCATAATTGAGTTAAAAGAGGATGAAGTTTATTGGATCTAGTAAATACAAGATATATACAAGATACATATGTATAGTAGCCTCAAGGCCAAGAATTTAAAAAAAAAAAAACCCTGCAATGCATACTTCCTCCCTAAGTTGTATGTATAGCAGGTTAAAGATTTGACTGTTGACTAAGTAAAGATGCATCAAAGTAGTCTCAACGTCCCAAAGTTGTGGTTGAAATAAGCTCTATAATCTAGCAGCCCTACATGCAATAATTTCTTAGAAAACACTTTAATTGCCCTGCTAAAGCCAGAATAAAATATGTTTAACCTTCAATGCATACTTCCTCCCTAAGTTGTATGTATAGCAGGTTAAAAATTTGACTGGTGACTATGTAAAGATGTATCAAATTAGCCTTTATGTTCCAATTTTGTGGTTTAAAAAGCTATATAATCTAGTAGCCCTACAAAGAATAATTTCTTAGAAAACACTTTAATTGCCTTGCTCAAGCCAAAATAAAATATGTTTAACCTGCAATGCATACTTCCTCCCTAAGTTGTATGTATAGCGATGTATCAAATTAGCCTCTATGTTCCAATTTTGTGGTTGAAAAAAGCTATATAATCTAGTAGCCCTAAAGGAGTAATTTCTTAGAAAACACTTTAATTGCCTTGCTCAAGCCAAAATAAAAAATATTTAACCTGCAATGCATACTTCCTCCCTAAGTTGTATGTATAGCAGGTTAAAGATTTGACTGGTGACTAAGTAAAGATGTATCAAATTAGTCTCAACATCCCAATTTTGTGGTTGAAAAAAGCTATATAATCTACTACTACTCACCCTACATAGAATCATTTCTTAGAAAACACTTTAATTGCCTTGCTCAAGCCAAAATAAAATATATTTAACCTGCAATGCATACTTCCTCCCTAAGTTGTATGTATAGCAGGTTAAAGATTTGACTGGTGACTTAGTAAAGATGTATCAAACTTGTCTCTTCGTCCCAATTTTGTGGTTGAAAAAAGCTATATAATCTACTAGCCCTAAAGGAATAATTCCTTAGAAAACACTTTAATGCCTTGCTTAAGCCATAATAAAAAATTTAACTTGCAATGCATACTTCCTCCCTAAGTTGTATGTATAGCAGGTTATAGATTTGACTGGTGACTTAGTAAAGATGTATCAAATTAGTCTCAACGTCCCAATTTTGTGGTTGAAAAAAGCTATATAATCTAGTAGCCCTAAAGGAATAATTTCTTAGAAAACACTTTAATTGCCTTGCTCAAGCCAAAATAAAAAATATTTAACCTGCAATGCATACTTCCTCCCTAAGTTGTATGTATAGCAGGTTAAAGATTTGACTGGTGACTTAGTAAAGATGTATAAAATTAATCTCAACGTCCCAATTTTTTGGTTGAAAAAAGCTATATAATCTATTAGCCCTACATGGAATAATTTCTTAGAAAACACTTTAATTGCCTTGCTCAAGCCAAAATAAAAAATATTTAACCTGCAATGCATACTTCCTCCCTAAGTTGTATGTATAGCAGGTTAAAGATTTGACTGGTGACTAAGTAAAGATGTATCAAATTAGTCTCAACATCCCAATTTTGTGGTTGAAAAAAGCTATATAATCTACTACTACTCACCCTACATAGAATCATTTCTTAGAAAACACTTTAATTGCCTTGCTCAAGCCAAAATAAAATATATTTAACCTGCAATGCATACTTCCTCCCTAAGTTGTATGTATAGCAGGTTAAAGATTTGACTGGTGACTTAGTAAAGATGTATCAAACTTGTCTCTTCGTCCCAATTTTGTGGTTGAAAAAAGCTATATAATCTACTAGCCCTAAAGGAATAATTCCTTAGAAAACACTTTAATGCCTTGCTTAAGCCATAATAAAAAATTTAACTTGCAATGCATACTTCCTCCCTAAGTTGTATGTATAGCAGGTTATAGATTTGACTGGTGACTTAGTAAAGATGTATCAAATTAGTCTCAACGTCCCAATTTTGTGGTTGAAAAAAGCTATATAATCTAGTAGCCCTAAAGGAATAATTTCTTAGAAAACACTTTAATTGCCTTGCTCAAGCCAAAATAAAAAATATTTAACCTGCAATGCATACTTCCTCCCTAAGTTGTATGTATAGCAGGTTAAAGATTTGACTGGTGACTAAGTAAAGATGTATCAAATTAGTCACAACTTCCCAATTTTGTGGTTGAAAAAAGCTATATGATCTACTAGCCCTAAAGGAATAATTTCTTAGAAAACACTTTAATGCCTTGCTTAAGCCATAATAAAAAAATATTTAACCTGCAATGCATACTTCCTCCCTAAGTTGTATGTATAGCAGGTTAAAGATTTGACTGGTGACAAAGTAAAGATGTATCAAATTAATCTCAACATCCCAATTTTGTGGTTGAAAAAAGCTATATAATCTATTAGCCCTACATGGAATAATTTCTTAGAAAACACTTTAATTGCCTTGCTCAAGCTAAAATAAAAAATATTTAACCTGCAATGCATACTTCCTCCCTAAGTTGTATGTATAGCAGGTTAAAGATTTGACTGGTGACTTAGTAAAGATGTATCAAATTAATCTCAACGTCCCAATTTTGTGGTTGAAAAAAGCTATATAATCTAGTAGCCCTAAAGGAATAATTTCTTAGAAAACACTTTAATTGCCTTGCTCAAGCCAAAATAAAATATATTTAACCTGCAATGCATACTTCCTCCCTAAGTTGTATGTATAGCAGGTTAAAGATTTGACAGGTGACAAAGAAAAGATGTATCAAATTAGTCTCATCGTCCCAATTTTTTGGTTGAAAAAAGCTATATAATCTACTATCCTTACAAGGAATAATTTCTTAGAAAACACTTTAATTGCCTTGCTCAAGCCAAAATAAAAAATATTTAACCTGCAATGCATACTTCCTCCCTAAGTTGTATGTATAGCAGGTTAAATATTTGACTGGTGACAAAGTAAAGATGTATCAAATT